TTGTCTATTCATGTATTCCACAGATGCAGGGTACATCAAGTTGATTGTGGAGCTTTAATCCACTGCTCCTGAGGCTGCTGGGAGAGATTTCCCTTTCTCTTCTTTGTTCGCACAGCTCCTGGGGTTCAGCTTTGGATCTGGCCCCACCTCTGCGTGTAGGTCACCAGAGGGTGTCTGTTCTTCGCTCAGACAGGATGGGGTTAAAGGAGCCGCTGATTCGGGGGCTCTGGCTCACTCAGGCCGTGGGGAGGGAGGGGCACGGAGTGTGGGGCAGGCCTGCGGCGGCAGAGGCCAGCGTGACGTTGCACCAGCCTGAGGTGCGCCGTGCGTTCTCCCGGGGAAGTTGTACCTGGATCCTGGGACTCTGGCGGTGGCGGGCTGCACAGGCTCCCCGGAAGAGGGGTGTGGATGGTGACCTGTGCTCGCACACAGGCTTCTTGGTGGCGGCAGCAGCAGCCTTAGCGTCTCATGCCCGTCTCTGGGGTTCGCGCTTTTAGCCGCGGCTCGCGCCCGTCTCTGGAGCTCCTTTAAGCAGCGCTCTGAATCCCCTCTCCTCGCGCACCAGGAAACAAAGAAGAAAAAGTCTCTTGCCTCTTCGGCAGGTCCAGACTTTTCCCCGGACTCCCTCCCGGCCAGCCGTGGTGCACTAGCCCCCTGCAGACTGTGTTCACGCCGCCAACCGCAGTCCTCTCCCGGCGCTCCGACCGAAGCCCGAGCCTCAGCTCCCAGCCCCGCCCGCCCCGGCGGGTGAGCAGACAAGCCTCTCGGGCTGGTGAGTGCCGGTCGGCACCGATCCTCTGTGCGGGAATCTCCCCGCTTTGCCCTCCGCACCCCTGTTGCTGCGCTCTCCTCCGCGGCTTCGAAGCTCCCCCCTCCGCCTCCCGCAGTCTCCGCCCGCGAAGGGGCTCCTAGTGTGTGGAAACCTTTCCTCCTTCACGGCTCCCTCCCACTGGTGTGGGTCCCGTCCCTATTCTTTTGTCTCTGTGGGGACTTTCTAGCCTTTTGGGATGTCAGAGGTCTTCTGCCAGCGTTCAGTAGGTGTTCTGTAGGAGTTGTTCCATGTGTAGATGTATTTCTGGTGTATCTGTGGGGAGGAAGGTGATCTCCGTGTCTTACTTACGCCATCTTCCCCTCATCTCTCATGTTCATTTTAGAATCAGCTTGTCATTTTCCACAACTTCCGCCATCTTCCCCTCGTCTCTCATGTTCATGTTAGAATCAGCTTGTCATTTTCCACAGAAAAGTTGGAATTTTCATTGAGGTTGTATCAAATTGTATCATTTTTTAAAATCTTATTTTCTAACTCTTTGTTTTTGGTGTGTAGGAATAATTTATCCATTTTGGGGAAACTTTCCCCATTTATAATCATATAGTCTATGAATAATGACAGTGTGTTTTTCTTTCCAATACTTACACTGTTTATTTCTTTCTCTTGCCTTGTTACTCTGGCTAGGACCTCTAGTACAGTGTTGAATAGAAATGGTCATGGTATAACCTTTGTCTTATTCTTGATCTCAGAGGGAAAACTCTTAACATATCACCATTAACATGATGTTTGTCATAGCCTTTTTTGTAGATACCTTAAACAGATGAAGGAAGTGCTCCAAAGCCGAGCTGGGTTTACCCAGCTCTCTCTTCTTGGAAGACCCAACACTCTAATGTTTGCCTCCCTAGCTCTTTGAGCTAGGACTCTCAGAGGCTCTGCTTAGCAGTTGGGTTGGGAGAGATTCCCCATTCCACTATTCCAGGAGCCTACTGTTAACTTTTTATGCACATTTACCAAGCTCTGTCTTTAACTGAAAGCTCTTCCATTGATATGAACCCTTATTACATCTTTAGAAATGGTTCAAAACCTTGTGGGGTTGAGCACCTAAAAAGCTGAAAACCAAGCTTCTAGTCTTTTAGTAAATGTATGTATAATTAATTTAGCACTGCTTTCAAATCTTCAAAGAATTGTGAACAAAGAAAGTACAAAAATTTAATTCTTCTAAATGGTCTTCTGAAAACAGGTTCAAAAGAATATTAATGGTTCCACTTGTATCTTACCGGATACGTTACCTGACCTGCCAGTCTCTTTGGTTCTGACCTGCTTGATCATGGTTGATATTATTGAAAAACTCAGGACATATCCTCTTAGAGGGAGGCAAAAGAGTAAGTATTCTTTTAAATACACATATTTTTTAAAGTTTCACATATAGTTCACCTTTCTCCCACTCTTGTCTGTTGACATGTTTAATGATATTTTTTAAGAGCTAAGATTACAGATAGAAGATTACAAATGAAGATATCCAAATGTAATTGTAGCTATACAGTTATTCTTTTTTGATTTTGATAGTACTGACAAATGGATAAAGTTACTAAATATTTAATGCTAAATCTTTAATGTTTATTCTAACATGAAAATTACCTAAGTAAATTATTATAGATTTTTATTTTTAGGAACTCTCTCAAAACCTTAAGTTGAGATGAATAGAGAGTTTAGTCTGCATACCTTTGATACAGGAATTAATATGACTGCTGCAGATACGTCCTAGAGATTTCTGTGTTTTTAATCGTGGATTGTCAAAAAGCTAAAGATCACACTCAAAACCAAGATATGCCACATTCTTCCAAAGGGAGCAGTTGAAACTAAATATTGGTTGGCCTTTAAAAAAACTATTTTGTTAATTGAATATTTTGTTTGGTCAGTCAAAAATTCCCTCAACTTTCATTTAATTTTATGTGATGGTATCTGTGTTTGATTTACAGTATTTGCACGGTATGGTTATTGTATCGCAAAGATTTTGCATTTGAAATGGGTAGGTTTTGTTAATCATTCCCTGACGGAGTGGATGGGAGAAATTGAGTGAGTCATAGGAGAACACTTTGGGGTAATAGGGCGACTACTACAACCAGGAAGGAAAGCACTAGACTCATTTCTTATGAGCCATCACCCTCCAGTCCCTCTTGCTCCTCAGATTGAAAAGCAAAACTGAGTTGGAGGCCACCAGGAAACCTGAGACTCTGAGCTTCATATTTTGCACTTTGCCCTTGGGTGGTAGATAATAGACTGTTAAGTTTAACATAACACAGGTGACAAGGTAGATAAGATGGCAGCCAATGAGTCTGTTGAAGAAAAGGTGCTCCCAAGGTACATCTGCCCTCCACAGACAAGTGTATTTGTCTTAAACTGAGGATATTTGGGAATCGCCAAACCCTTTACTACTTCTGTAGACTGCTGAATGACAAGCCCATTTTGAAATTGGACTGTTTTTAATGAGTCTGTATTTTCCATGTTAATGTGAAGTTGCTACGTTTTTAGTGAAAATTCTCTTTTAAAAAATGCACATGTATATTTTTGGGAATCATTTATTGGCGTTTTATATTTTAAGTGATGAGTTGGATTTTTAAAGGGGCATTTTCTTTGTATTCGGAAGTAGTGATGAAAAGAGAATCAAACTAAGAGAACCTCAAGGAAGAAGTCAGTCTTGGGGAGAAGACTCTAGAACATCTTGTTCAATTGCTGCTTCTTAGTTGAAGTGCCTCCTTCTTGAGCTTTTTCTTCTCTGCTCAAACTTAGGAAGGTTAATGTCTGGTTAAATAGTGCCACCGTTTAATAAAATCACACTTTAAAATACTAGCATTCATTCAAAATACCTTTGTAAATATTAATTATATGTGTATTTAATTTTTGTGCAAACTTTGAACTCAATTAGTCTCCTATACTCATTTTAACAGGCATACTAATAAAATCAATTGTGTGAATTTTTAACCAATGGGGTATTCTCATTTATCCTCTGGAACGTAAATTAATACATAAACTCATAAACATAATACATAAATCTGAATATAAGCAAGTATGCTATAAATATGGTTTCACTGCATGTGCTACGTCAGAATCAAAGCAGTAGGGTAAGGGTGTGTGACAGCAAAGTTTAGAATAATTTGTGTCCCTTTAGAAAATGTTGAGAAAGAAGTACATTCTCTTCTTTGCTATCCAGATAGTTTGACATGCATCCATACTAGTCAACTTATAGCAGTTTTCACTTTATACCAGATGAAACTAAGATACTCTGCAATGCTTGGATTTATGGACACACTTGCACTACCCTACCTTGAAGTACAGTTGATTTACAATGCTGTGTTAATTTCTGCTGTACAGCAAAGGGGTTCAGTTGTACATATATAAACATTCTTTTTTTATATATTCTTTTCCATTATGGTTTATTACAGCATATTGAATATAGTCCCCTGTGCTCTACAGTAGGGCCTTGTTGTTTGTCCATTCTCTATATAATAGTTTGCATCTGCTCATCCCACGCTCCCAGTCCATCCTCCCCCACACCCCCTCCTAACTATACTGTCTTAATTCCAAGCTACCAAAGTTTGATCTTTGTATAGTTTTGCTTTTTCTAAATTTAAAAATAAAAGTTCTATATTTGACATATGCTTAAAACAATCTTTCGTGGCCCAAAGAATCCTTTCTGCTAACTTCATACTACCAGTTGAAATACCTAAGTATCAAGTGATTACCAAGCCGTAACATTTAAGTGGATCGTTTCCCATAGACTGGGGCTCACTTGGGAATATTTTTTGGAACACAGATCTCTGAGGCATGGCAATCTCACACATAGCACCTAATAGTGTCAAATCCCGGTCATGAGAATAAATAATAAGAATACAATATATAGCCTGCATGTCCCCCACTCTTACTAGTATGTGGGTACAAATGAGCACACTTTTACATTTCCATCTGAATTTTGCTAGCTCAGTCCCAACCTGTTAGTGACTGGACCTCCATTTATCTTCCTCTCCCATATTGTTCTCTCTCCCATGTTTTAATTTTTTTGGCTGCGTTTTGGGTCTTCGTTGCTGCGCGTGCACTCTCTCTAGTTGCAGCAAGCGGGGGCTACTCTTAGTTGTGGTGTGCGGGCTTCTCATTGTGGTGGCCTCTCATTGCAGAACACGGGCTCCAGTAGTTGTGGCCCGTGGGCTCAGTAGTTGTGGCTCGCAGGCTCTAGAGCACAGGTTCAGTAGTTGTGGTGCACAGGCTTAGTTGCTCCGTGGCATGTGGGATCTTCCTGGACCAGGGCTCGAACCCGTGTCCCCTGCATTGGCAGGCGGATTCTTAACCACTGTGCCACCAGGGAAGCCCCTCTCTCCCACTTTTAAATGAGACCCTAGATGGGTCTCCCGTGGTCTCATTTGTTGGTCTAGACTGTTGAATATCCTCTTGCCCCTACTTTCCTCTCAGCTGTCTTTCTCATGTTCAAACAACTTTGTGTGCTATTTTCCCACCACCCCTGCTCGACTCTGCTCCAAACACCCTTAGTTACTGCTGTTTCTTGCCTCTGGGATATTGCTTGATGTTCTGCTGGTGTTTTGAATTGATTACCTTTCCCCTGCCATTGGAGTATTGACTTCCCTCCCCTGAGTTCTACGTTCCTAGAGAAGTCCCACACAGAGTCATGGAAGGGCTATTTTCACTTAGAAACACAACCCTTTTATCCCCAGAATGTATATGGAATCACAGACTGTCTGGGCTTTAATGATTTCAAGTAATGGCCATTCAGTCCACTGGAAACCACTGTTTCCTCTCCTGCCACTAGATGTTCTGGCTGATTCTGGTAGAGCTAGACTCCTTCTTCTTTGGGAGTGGCTTTTTTTCTGAGGAGCCTCATAGTTTGTCCTTACATCAGCCTCACCTTTATTGTCTGAGCCCCAAATCATGGTCACCGTTAGATTCTCCTCCCTGCCCCCACCAAGATTCCTTAACTCCCATATAAACCAGTGACTGCAGACAGACATATAAGGGAGTCTGTGGTTAGGAAGTGAGTTTTCAGTTCTCCCTGCAGGACTTATTAGAGTAGCATGAACCCAGCTTGGGCACCATATTACAAAGCGGTATAATAGCGTATCGTGGTTAAAGTACTGTAGGGCCCCAGGTGACGGCAAACTTCATTTTATCTAAGGTGCTGGAGGTCAGAAAAGACTAAGGGGAATACCTGGAATTTGTACGAGTTTGTAGGCAGACATGGTGAAGAAAGCTTTCTCCACAGAAGGAAGGTTGGGTCTCTAGAAACTCAGGTGTCCATGTAATAAACGGGCATGTTTGGGAAGCAAAAATAACTTCGGCTGCATTTCTCACCCTGAATAGGCAAACCTAGCGCTGGAACGGAAGTTGCCTTCTCTTTTTTTTGTGGTACGCAGGCCTCTCACTGTTGTGGCCTCTTCCGTTGCAGAGCACAGGCTCCGGAGCGCAGGCTCAGCGACCATGGCTCATGGGCCCAGCTGCTCCGCGGCATGTGGGATCTTCCCGGACCGGGCCACGAACCTATGTGCCCTGCATCGGCAGGTGGACTCTCAACCACTGCGCCACCAGGGAATCCCCCGGAAGTTGCCTTCTTAAGACCAGCTACTGTTTGCTTTTCAAAGAGTCAATTTGGAAACCTCCAAAGCTGTAAAGATCTTCTGGAGGTGGGGAGAGCAGGAGGGGGAGGCTGAACTGGGGTCTCTGGATGCCCCAATTCCTACTTCAACCAGAGGAACACAGCTTTTATTTGTTTAGGAGTTAGTGTTTTATGTAAGATTTCATTGGAAAAAGTGCTTCTTCTAAAGGTCTGCAAATCAATGTAGGACCTCATTTAGAGTTGTTGGCTGTACCTATATCCAGCCAATTCTCAGCATCTCCAGCCATTAGTCCCATGATGACACCGCACAGTCTAGAAAAAAATGTGACCCCCTCCAAGGTCTTGTGATCGTTGCTGCTCTGGGGTATGAGACGATGCAACACAATCCAATCCTGTCTAATACAGTGAAGTTCAGCTTTGCAGACAGAGCTGGATCATCCCGGTGGAGTACACACAGGTTTGAGGCCCAACACATACAAAAACCAGATAACATTTTTAACATTCCACTTTTGAATTTTTAAAATTTCCCATGTTTTCTGTTTCTCCAAAATAACACATATTTATTTAAGGATTATCAAATAGACATAAACAAAAAAGAAGAAAATGGAAATCAACCAGAGTTCTCCACACTAGAGATCTATAACTGATAGCATCTTGATGGGTGTTCTTAAGAAAACCTACTTTATAACTTTTTTTTCCTCAACAATGTGTGGTGGGTATCATTCTTGTTAAAAAATGGTGGATATTGGGCTTCCCTGGTGG